TTTTGTTGTTTAGTTTCTGACATATTAATCCGAAGAGTTAATCTATTAAACTCTTTTGTGTACTCCTTCACACTCTTTTCTTGTTGCCTTAAATTCTGCACCCTTTGGTAAAGAGTTTGCTCATAGTTTGGTGGAAAAAATTGGGATTTCAGCTTCTCTTTCATTCTTCCCCAGGAACTAATCTTTCTTTCCCCTTCCTTTCTCTATCCCTTTGGTAATTTTTCCACCAATCTAAGGCTGTCTCACGCATCTTTGCTGTTACAAGCTTCACTTTTCTTTCTTCATTCATTTCTTTCCAATCAAAGTAATTTTCAATGTTGTCCAACCAGTCTAGAAACTCTTCAGGATCCAACTCACCATCAAACTCGGAAATATGAAGTTGAACACCATGACCTTGATTGGATTGTAAAGCTTGCACTATTCGGTCTTCCCACCGTTGGTTGTTATTCCTTCCATGCTGATCACCTTCAGGTTGCTCAATGTCTTCACTTGATTTCCACTAATAATGTCAGTGAGTTGTTCATCAACTCTAGGAGCTTGTCCTCTTCTTCCTAGCCCCAAATCATTTGCTACGTCACCATCCCTAGCAGCATTTTGAGCTACAAGTTGAGCAAGATGTTCAATCTGTTCTTGCAATCCTCTTATAGCCTCTTGGAAAACCTCTATAGTGACATGTTGTGGTCTTTTACCACCCCTACCACATCCACCCCTTGCAGCCATGATAATATAGAAAAACACAAGAAGGAGATGAACTTTGAAGCAAACCCAAGGAAAGAACTTGCTCTGATACCACTTGATGTGAATAGAAAGACAAATGACATGCAGCACCTCAAGTATACAGCAATAAGCACAAGAAGTACCAAATTGAAAACAACAAAATAAGTTGGATTTTTAGGGATTTCAGACCTGAACCTGAAGTAAAACTCCTCCTGGAACAGTTATGCTACAGTAATAATGGCAGCAAGCTGGCCTCCCGCACGGACACGCAGTGATGGAGGGATTGGAAGGTGCCAAAATGGGTTGACTCCTCAAAACCCAAACTCTCAAATACTTGAAAGCCCTAGCTGGGGCTGAGCTACAGCTCAAACAAGAGAGAAAGAACCAAAAGACCCCTACAAAAACAGCCCCCTTCTCTTTTATAAGACTCACTGACTTGCTGGACAAGCTAGTTAAAATATTTAACATAAGCCCCTAGAATGTTTCCCTCTCACCAACTCTTTAGGAACAAAACTAAATTCAAATGAACACCTAAAAGATAACTTTTGTTACAAAAAGACCCAAGAGACCAAAACTCAACAGAAATGCACCCAACTGCCCCTAACCAAAAAATCTGACTTATAAAATGACGAAAATACCACTGGTCCCAAACTGTCAACAAAGCTACCCAAAGGCAACTACTTGGGATCCCACTACAAAAAACATGCAAAACAGAATACGTTCACACATTTTTTTGTTTTCACATTTTTTCTCTTTTTTTTTGCCTCATCACACAACTAGAAATTAAAAACTGAAACAGTACCAATATCCTCTAACCCAAAAATTCTGAAATTGGTATAGGAATTGGAAAATTAGTTTGTTTCCTCATGAATTCTTTCCTTGCTTTTACATCTGCATCACAAGAAGGCATCCTTTGAGGCATTGGGAGGCCTTATTATCTTCCTCCTCAGTTTGGGGGCCATGCCTCTTAATGTATATTTCTTAACAACCCAAGAAGGATCCTGCAAGAGATTTTCCAATCTTCCTCTAGCACCCCAACCAATGAGCAGAGTATGTTACAATTTCAGAGGAGCTCTCTTGTGAACCCCAGCCCAGCAGGGATTGGTGCTTCACAGTTGTAGAGTATCATTTTTTTTTTATTTTTTTTGGGG